AGGAAACATGCAAACTCCTCTGCAAACTTCTTTTGTGTATTTTTTCTTTCTGGCTTGGGATGTTAAATCAAATCATTGATTTAATGTCATTTATCTGATGCTGATCTTCTATTACCTGACATGTTCCAAGTAACAAGTTATGAAAGGAAAAAGCTTTATATTTTATTTTTCTACCCTAAAGAATTCAAAGTAACTCATACTAGCATCATTGGTTCACAACAGAACAGGTGTAGGGGCGCTGTAAAAAGTTTCATGGAAATTAAAAACTCACTTGTCTGCCATCTTGCCCCACATTCGTCTGTCCCCTCACCACTGTTCTGATATTGTCATCCAACTTTCTGATTAGAAAATTATAAATAATATCAATTAATAAAAAAAACAATATTCCACATTCATAAATGTTGACCACATCAAGGTGTAATTATTAAAAACTTACCTGATTTTAAGTCGAATGTTATTCACCACTTCATCTATATTTGCCAGGGACTAAAAAGAGATTCATTAGATTAGTATGAACTAGTAGAGATGGATTTTTTTTTAAATAACATTGTTCAGATTATACACGTTTCTTTTTTTATAATCAACATCTTATTATCTTTATCTTCACAGGCAGTAGTGCTCTCTAGTGGCCAAGTATATGAACATTACCCCATTTAATCCCAACAAGTACTGTTGTGACCTTGTATGTTTTCTTATTTCTGGAATCTCTAAAAGTGTTGTTGTTGGCTTTGGGCAATTTTTCTTTTTTATAAAAAAAACTAAACAAAATTAAAACAACCAGATTTACATACTAAAGTTTACATTATTCCTTCTTACACATCTAGATGTAAGAGGTGATTATTTCTGTGTTTACTTGTGGCGTAACAACTGTTAAGAATTAAAAACAATTGAATTTCAATGGAATTCTAACCATGCTGTTTCAAATTGTTCACTATTGTCACCAAATATAAAACTTAATTTAACCAACATAATATTAAGGAAGGCATGGAGTTTCTGTGTTAAAGATGTAAGAGAAAATTTGGAAGTAAATGAGTTTAAGAGATATAATACTCTGCAACAATGCAAGACAAACAGATGTTATCGTTAAATGATTTGTCCCGGTCTTAAACATGGGTTACCTAATAACAGGGATAACATTTGATATATTAATTATCAGTTTATCACCACAAAACGTGTATGTATCCCGGTATGTATAACTTAAGCTTGCAGCTTGTTAAATGCAGAAAAAAATCATAATAAAACGTACACATTCATCATTTGGATCAATAATCTGATTCAGACTCACCTGCTCTGTTGGAAACAAGGTATTAATGTATTCAACAGCATTAAAATCAGCTCGATCTAATGGGTCTTGACTGGGAAAAACCTAAAAAAGAAATCATACAAATAACAAATAACATGAACAAAAACATAAAAGCAGACTCAGCTGATCAAGGACGTTAAACATGTTCTGTGGACAAAATGGTGTCGATATATTTTTTTACAGTGCAGTCTGTTGAGGTGTCACCAAACATAGACCATAGATATCATGTTGGACTGGCTAAGCATTAAAAATGGAATGATTGTGGCTTGATTGAGCTCAATAAACAATGCTCTTTGCTATTATTAGTAAACATTGCTTATAATCTCTTCTTTTTTGACAAATCGGTTAATAAACATTGCTTATAATCTCTATCTTTTTAACAGAAAAATAAGTTAATTACCTAATGCGTTCCACACTTCTTACTGTTTTAGCATGCATTTGTAAAGATTAATGTAGTAGTGCACATATATTTAGGTTTTATGGTATATTTAACAGATTTTCAACACTATAAGAAAGCCCATGAAATAATATACAGAATATTTCCTTACAAAAGTATAGCATTTTATATTATCATTGTAAAGAACATGGCCTATATGATTCCTAACACATCATTAATTAGAATACAATATAATTTGTATTCAAAAACAGTTTTCTCCTGTATTTACAGTAACTTAACGTTAAGAGTATTTACGCCCTCAAGTAACACGCGAGAAATTAAACATTTGCGTTGGCTGATTTGTCGTTTTAAAACTGAAGTTTGTTCTGGAAACAGTTCTGAACACAAACAAAATGATAAGTGAACAAGACATGAGCAAATTTGTTAGCATAAATGGAGACGTTTATTGGAAACTGGCTATTAGCATCTCTGAAGACAACAGACAGCTTGTGTTTACTCTCTGACACTCTCAAAAACATACGCAAAGAAAAACAAATCCGAGTTACCTGCTCAATCGCCAATTGCACTTCTGGGGTAAGGTGTAATATCGCCTCTAAATCTTCCACAAATTCTAATTCTTCATCCTCCATCATTGTGAACAGTAAACTGTCTGGTTTATTTCCCTGTGCTGACGCGAATACTTCTTTACCGGTGTCGACGCGCAGGAGAAATTTGATTCATTAGCGCCATCTGTCGCGCTGGAGACCAAACACGTTCACTCTTGGGGGTGATGTTGTGTGACAACCATATAGACTGTAAAGGTGAGAACAAACATTATATCTGGGTATTTTTATATTGTTAGTTTAATATTGTAACAAATTACCTTGGCTTGTCTAATGTTGTAATGGTCACCCTTTTGCATCCTTATTTATGTCTTCATTTATAATACTTTATAACTTTGTGTTAATGAAATTAGCATCCATATTCATTCATTCATTCATTCATTTTCTTTCGGCTTAGTCTCTTTATTCTTCAGGGGTCGCTACCGTGGAATGAACCACCAACTTATCCAGCATATGTTTTTCACAGCGAACCCAGTACTGGGAAACACCTATACACTCGCACTCACACACGCACTCATACACTATGGCCAATTTAGTTTATTCAATTCACCCATATCGCAAGTCTTTGGACTGTGGAGCACCCCAGATGAAACCCCCACAACACGGGGAGAACATGCAAACAAAGAAATGCCAACTGACCCAGCCAAGAATCATCAGGGACCTTCTTGCTTTGAGGTGACAGTGCTAACCATTGAGCCACCATTTACTGTAAATACCATTTAATTTATACTTTCTTTGTTTACAGGCTTCCAAGGTTTCAAAATCGTAGGGTGCACAAAAATAAAAACAATATGGAAAGATTCATTCAAAAGAGGATCCAAACTGACTAGAATACAATATAATACAAGTATCTCATCAGGTCAGACTGTCTGAGATAATATAGATGACAGAGAATGGCTAAAGTACATTAAAATCGAGTATAGCAAACATCAACATCTATGCTGAAAACACAGATTCACATGTAAGTCAAGTCGTGGAGCCTTATAAATTACAAAATCATTTCATTTACGTACTGATCACTCTTATCAGCCAGTTCTTTTAAGTTAATCAAAACACAAACAGTGTGATCGGTATAACCTAATTCATCAGCACATGTGACCATGGTCTTATGTTTCATGGTTTTGAGGGATGTAAACAAAAACAATGGCCCCAATGTATTTCCTGTTTTACATCTTTAATTTCTATAGCTTCTGAGAATCCAAAAAAGAGCCACATATTGTTAAATAATCTTATGCTAGTGGTTTTAATATTAAATTATGATTGACTTGCCTCTTCTTACAGTTATGAAATAGTTTGAAACAAGCAGAAAATGTTCATGGGCCAATGACATGACCACATTGAAATGATCGATATTTTGGCAATAGCTAATAATACATTGATTGATTTTTCTTATATGCCAAAAATCATTGAAATATTGAGTAAAGATATTAAGTACATTTCCTACTGTAAATATATTAAAACATAATTTTAATTAGTAATGTGCACTTCATTTGGACAACATTCATTCATTCCCTTAGTACCTTTATTAATCTGGGGTCACCACAGCGGAATGAACCGCCAACATATCCAGCAAGTTTTTACCTTCCAGCCGCAACCCATCTCTGGGAAACATCCACACACTCATTCACACACACACTCATACACTACTGATAATTTAGCTTTCCCTCACCTGTTTCGCATATCTTTGGACTGTGGGGGAAATCGGAGCACCCAGAGGAAACCCACGAGAACATGCAAACTCCACACAGAAACATCAACTGAGCCGAGGCTCGAACCAGCGACCTTCTTGCTGTGAGGCAACAGCACTACCTACTGCGCCACTGCTTCAACATTAAAGGTGCTTTTCTTAACAAAAAAATAAAGATTCCAGATATTCAAATAGCTGTGTTTCTACAATACAAAACTTTATTTTCAGACTTGGATCTGAAATTTTTCTTGCATAACAGCATGATAAAAACTCCTTTCTAAGAGACAAAGACAAACAAACAAACACATAAATAAATAGATAGATAAATGTATAAATAAATAAATAAATAAATAAATACATTCATTTTACACAGGCCTTATTCAGCTTCAATTAATGTACAATGATGTACAAATTACTTTTTTATTTTCACTTTATTAAATCTTGAGACTCTAAATAGACTTAAATTCATGATTTAACACATGGTTCAAAATGATGTTTCTTGCCAGCCTTGTGAGGTTCTTGTAATACAAATGGTCATATAATTTCTCAAGAGGCTTTCCTACTATCTTTGAACAGATTTTAAGCTGGTTCATCAACTTTGTTTTTAGACTCACAGACAGATTCATATAGCATACAGAATTACAATATCGCAGAACACTGATAAGTACAGACATAAAAAAAGTTCAAGAATCTTTATCGATGCTCAAAAAAAACTAAGATAATGCAAAAATGATTCTTGGTTTCTGTCAAATATACTCCTATCCTAACAATCCATAAATCAATCAGCTCTTATGTAATTGTATATAAAAATTGGTTTGGTTTTTATTATTATTAGAGAGAGAGATTTGTCTTTAGTCATTTTTAACAGTTGTTTTAATTCAATGAATACACATATGACAGTGTATCCCATTCACAAACATATTCAGTTGTTCTGCTCAATGCCGGTCAATCACCCTCCACTTTGTTGGTAGGGCCAGGTTAAATGTTTGAAATCCCAACCACTGTCTTCTCATTCTCCTTAGCTTAAAGTTCAAGATTAGCTCACTGTGAATTCAAGATCTCTGGCGCATGTGTACTTTGTTTCCTAAACTGTAAATGATTGATCGTATTACGCACTGAGCTTCTGTCTCGAAGCTCTCAGAGATGAATGAGTCCACAGAGAAGACGCAAGATGCCTCGGGAGCAGCTGAACACTCTCTGCTTTAAAATGAGAGAAGGATTGCCTAAATGGAGAGATGTTTTCACATGGTGAGTGTGTAAGACCATAGTGAAAATCAGGCTTTTATTTTATCCTCCATGGATCACTCTTAAGTTATGCTGTTGTGTTATTTTAGTATTATTCATGTTGTTTTATAAATAGTTTAAAATAGCCTCCAAAGAAATATTTTCAGTTTTCATTTTTAACTTTAGCACCGCAGTGGCGCAGTAGACAATGCTGTCACCTCACAGCAATAAAGTCATTGGTTTAAGCCTCGGCTGGGTTAGTTGGCGTTTCTGTGTGGAGTTTGCATGTTCTCCCTGCGTTCATGTGGTGCTCCAGTTTCCCCCGCAGTCCAAAGACATGCGCTAAAGGTAAATTGGGTAAGCTAAATTGTTCGTAGTGTATGAGTGTAAATGAGTGTGTATGAATGTTTCCCAGAGTTGGGTTGGAGCTGGTAGGGTATCCGCTGCGTAAAACAATACTGGATAAATTAGTGGTTTATTCAGCTGTGGCAACCCCAGATTAATAAAGGAACTAAGCCGAAAAGAAAATTAATTAATGAATGAACTAATAATTGTTTATTAGTTTTTAATTAGATTTCAGTATTAGTATTCAGTATTTCTCAGATTCCATAAATAAGTGTCAATTTTCTGAAATTGAGAGTTATACACATCACATGAAGGCTGAATAAGTAAGCTTTTTTATTGATTTATGGTTGGTACAACTATTTGAATATTTGGAACCTAAGGGTTCAGAAAATTCTTAATATAGAGAAAATTGCCTTTAATGTCGTCAAATTAAAAATTAAAATTGAACATTACTAATCAAATATGTGGATTTATTTATAATAGCAAATTTACTTAATATGTTCATGAAACATTCATTCATTCAATCATTTTCCTTTGGCTTAGTTCCTTTATTCCTCAGGGGTCACCATAGTGGAATGAACCCCCAACTTATCCAGCATATATTTTACAAAGCGGATGCCCTTCTAGCTGCATCCCAGTACCAGGGAAACACCCATACACACTCACTTACACTCATACACTATGGCAAATTTAGTTTATTCAATTCACCTGTATTGCATGTCTTTGGACTTGTGGGGTAAACCAGAGCACCAGGAGGAAACCCACGCCAACACGGGTTGAACATGGAAACTCCACACAGAAATGCCAACTGACCCAGCCAGGACTCAACCTTCTTGCTGCCAGGCGACTGTGCTAACCACTGAGCCACTGTGAAAACAATCTTTACTTAATATTCTAATGATTTTTGGTTATTGTTACAATATACCCATAAAACAAGGCTGGATTTTTGGTCAAGGGTCACATACTATATTTGTATTATAGTTGTTTTATTTTTATGTATGATTTCTTTTGCAAAAACCAATAAACACAATTTTGACACATTTTCCTGTCATGCTTTCTTAGGGCAAATTAGCTCTTCGATGCAGAACAAAAACATGATTTATGAAATTATTAAAAACATTTTCAAATGAACTTGTCATATATAGTTTATACATAAATTTTAGAGCAATCATTTACACTCAAAAAAATATTTTTGTTTCTTGTTCACTTATTTAAAATGACCTAACCCAGCCTTTTGGTGCTGAATCTAAGTAAGAGGTTCTAAATATTCATGAATTTATTTCTCCTGTTGAACGCAAAACAAGACATTATGAAGAATGTTGGGAAAAAATTTCCATTGACATCCAAAAAAATGCTATGGAAGTCAATGGCTATTTATTCCAACAGTCTTCAGTATATCTTCCTTTGTGCTCAACAGAAAAAAAATCCTCAAACAGGCTCTGAACAATTAGAGAATGAGCAATGGTGACAGAATTTATCCATGTCCGTGTGTGAACTATCCCTTTAAAAATGTCATTAGAAAAGAATCGTCTCAAAACCTTGATAAAAGATTGCAATGATTCCAGTGGATGTTGATTGCAGGCAGCTGTTGAAGATTCTGCTGATGGGACAAGGCCTCTCAGCTCTGATCTGTGGCACTGCTGTAACATCACAGTATCTGGCATCCGTTTACTATCTGAATACCCCTATGCTGCAGAGCTTTATTAACTACACACTCCTGGGCATCACTTACACCATGGCACTTATCTTCAGAAGAGGTATTTGATCACGAATCATCAGATTTTCAATGAATTTCAATCTCTTGTTTCAATCTTGTTCATTATTTAAAGCTCTTCAGATATCTGACACTTTCTGGCATGCGATATTCAGGATGCCTCTCTTTTAATGTAGGTGATGGAAATATTTTGCAGATATTAAAGACAAAATGGTGGAAGTATCTATTGTTGGCGGTGGCAGATGTGGAGGCAAATTATGCAGTGGTGAAAGCATACCAGTACACCACATTAACCAGCATACAGGTCAGATTAGATCATATACAGTATCATTATCATTCTCTCATGCTCACTAGGTGTGCTGATTAAAATACAGTAAAAACAGTAATATTGTGAAATAATAGTAGATTTGATATTAGTATTTTCTGTTTGAATATATTTTAAAATTGTCATTTATTCCTGTGATTTCCATCTGAATTGTCAGCATTTTTAGTCTGGATCAGTCTGGATATTTAAGTAAATTAGTTATCATAATACATGTCTTTATTTTCATTTTTTTCAAAAAGACAAGTTTACTTTAAAAAGTTATTGATTACTAAGTACTAATACTATTATTAAATTGTATTTGAATTTATTTTACATATAAACTAGGTCTGAAATGTAATTTCAAAATGATATTTTAATTGTTTGATTGTATAATACTACTTAAAATCCTTAAAATCCTTAAATAAAGCGCATACACAATATAAGTTAAACTTTTATTTCTTTACATTAAAGTCAAATTTTGCCCTTTAGGTTTTTTAATATATATATATACTTAACCCTTATGTACTTTTTGGGGGATGTTTTTATCCACTCTGGGGTGATTTTGAGTCTTAATTTGGCCATAGATTTTTCTGTCTCAGCTAGCAGAATGATTTTTGGTGACAAAACTTATATTGACACATATTTTGACAAAATGCTTTGCAATTTTCTTAAAATCTCAACAGTATACTCTGGACAAATGTACTACCCTTTTGTTATGTTTGGGATGAAAACATCCTCTAATTTAAACTGCTGTAAAAAAGCATTAGATGAAATGTTCTTTCTTAGATTAGATGAAATGAGATGATTAGATGAAATGTTCAATCTTTTTTTTTTTTTTTTTGCATACATTTTTTACCTTTTATTAAAGTCTTGGACATGTGAAACAAAATCGCCTTTTAGGCATTGTTTTTGATTGAATTTCAGTTTTTCTCCCAAACTGGTGGCTGTTTTTGCCCCATTGACTTCCATTATAACCACATTTTTTTAAATGCAAAACCATGACTTTATATAATCAAGTATTTTTGATTGTTGGTGATTTTATCCTGTTGGGAAGAGGTAAAATCTGTCATTTTAACTGTTGATCATCAGTTGGCACCAATAAACCTTTAGATAGGCCTGTGCAAAAAAAGCTTAGTTTCTGGAGTATAAGAGCAAAGTGTTGCAACATAGGCTCATTCTGAAAACATAACCCTATATTTCTGGAGATCACGAATTACGTAGCCAGAGCTACGTATGGCTGCATTTCATCTTTCAAACGAATGCTACAGGGCAGTATGACGCCATTCCTTTTCTTGCTAACCAGCTGACCGGTTAGTTTTTCTGGTAGCTTGACACGTACGTTGGGTCAACCTGTGCTTTTCAATATACTATAGGTTAGGTTGGGCGAAGCAGTGGCGCAGTAGGTAGTGCTGTCGCCTCACAGCAAGATGGTCGCTGGGTCGCGGGTTTGAGCCTCGGCTCAGTTGGCGTTTCTGTGTGGAGTTTGCATGTTCTCCCTGCGTTCGCGTGAGTTTCCTCCAGGTGCTCCGCTTTCCCCCACAGTCCAAAGACATGCGGTACAGGTGAGTTTGGTAGGCTAAATTGTCCGTAGTGTATGAGTGTGTGTGAATGTGTGTGAGGATGTTTCCCAGAGATGGGTTGCGGCTGGAAGGGCATCCCCTGCGTAAAAAATGACTGGATAAGTTGGCAGTTCATTCTGCTGTGGCAACCCTGGATTAATAAAGGGACTAAGCCGACAAGAAAATGAAATTAAATGGGTTGGGTTTAGGGAAGGAGGAGGGTGGGGGGATAAGTCGGTTGGTCAGTCAGTCAGTGAGTTAGTCAACAGTGGCCTCTGGTGGATTTACGTAAAAAGAGCTGTTGCAAATGGCACTAAACAGCAGGAAAAATAACATGAGATGTATTCTGCTCTCTCCAGAAATGTACACTGTAAAAAATCTTGGGTTCCACATGATTCTTTCATGTTGTCCCAACACAAATTGATTAAGTTAACTCAAATATTTTTACAAATTCAAGTGGATTAAACATAAAACAATCAAGTTGTCCTCCGCAAAGACTTAAAAAATGTGTTGGTTCAACTCATATTAAATAAGCAGTTTTAACAAGCAGCAACGTAATTTATTGAGTGTATATAGGGCTATCAGAATGAGTCTGGGTTGCATTAAAGTGTGTGTATGTTTGTCTGTGAGTGTGAGAGTGACTTTTGTGCACTTGTGTCTGAGAAAACCTCAGCTCTCAGAACTACAAGGAGTAAACAAAAACAAAGACTGTATTTATGCACCAACAAATGTGGTTATACAATTGGACAGAAACAGCCGCTAGCAGTAAATTAGAGAGAAAAAATGAAAATCTAACAATGCATCAAAGCCAATGTTGTTACTAATTGTTCACATGTCAGACTGTGATACAAGGTAAAGAACTACAGTCCACAACTACTTTTTATTTTTATAATACGTCAGTGTGTGTGTTTTTTCACCAAATCAGTGACATCATTTGTGAACTTGGCAATTAAAAAGTTAAAATCCTGTAATTTTTAAAAACATAGTAGTTTTGATCAGGACTGAGGTTGATTGACAAATTTATGCAAGAAAAATTAAAAAATATATTTATCTTATGCATTTCAGCAGTATAATAACTCTATAGTTGAAAATAAAATTCTTACTCTGCCTGTGTGACTTGATTTAAAGTATTTAAGATAAGTAAATTATAAGTAACTTATTAAATGATCTAAAAAATCAATAGCAAACTCTTACTTTTCAGTAAATAAGCCATTTAATTACAGTAAATAGTTACATTGTAATGAATTATGCTTGAATGAATTATATTTGATGAATACAAGTATTAAATATTGTTTTTAAAACAGTTCTAAACGTTTAAGCATTTTAATTTGCATTTCACAATGTAACACATTAACAAAAGCATTGAAATACTTAAAGCAAACAGTTATTTCATCAACCAACCTTCTTGTCTGTGTTTCAGCTGCTGGACTGCTTTATTATCCCAGTTTTAATGATCTTGTCCTGGTTCTTCCTGAAGACCCGCTACAGGATCATTCATTATGCAGCTGTAGGCATCTGTCTGGCCGGGGTGGGAGCCATGGTGGGAGCAGACATCCTCGCTGGACAAGACCAGGGATCATGTGAGGAGCAAGATGCTTCTCTGGAACAAAATCAGCTACAAAACTTTGTATAAGTCAAACCATAATCATTCCTGTGTCTGTCAACAGCCAGTGACGTGCTCCTGGGTGATGGTCTGGTTTTAGTTAGTGCCACTCTGTATGCCATCTCTAATGTGTGCCAGGAATACACAGTGAAGAATCTGAGCCGGGTGGAGTTTCTGGGGATGGTTGGCCTCTTTGGGTCTATTATCAGCGCAATCCAACTGTGAGTTTGGTTCTGAAAAATTACAAAATACTCCCTAAAGCGATAGTTCACCCAAAACCGAAAATTTTATCATGGTTTATTCTCAGGTTGCAAAGATATTTAAAGGTGCTGTATGTAGTTTTTGACTCATCTAAAGAATGAAAAATAATATAATATTTTTGCAGATATTTAAGATACATGAACATACTTGTTTATCTTAAAAACAAAGCTAAAGTCAAATATTTTGCTTTAAAAATGTGTTTTCCGTGTCAGAACGAAATGGTAAGGGTTATAATCTATTTAATACATATAAACCCACTTTAGCATTACTAAATTTACATGCTGAATCACTCATATGTGTTTAGTTCTAAAGTTTAATTTCAAACAGTTTATTTTATTTTCAAAACCTGAGGTGAACTATCTGCTGCTGCTTTCAGTAGTATGGCAATAAATGTCATGTAAAATGGCATTCAAACTCACATTGTTACGCCTGTTTCACACCGCAAGCGTCAGCGGCGCGTGAGCAGAGCGTGAGCAGCGCGTGTGTTTTCGGCGTCCATGTTAACAGATTAGAGCTTTCATACCGCACGCAGCAGCAGCGCGTCAGAGCGAGGCGTGAGCGTCGCCGAAGCAGCAGTGCAGCGATAGTTTCGGCGCTGAGTCTATTTTTGACGCACTGCTCACGCTCAAAGTGACAGTGCATTGATAATGACCAAAACACATTGAATGACAGTAAAAAGTAGCAATTTTACCCAATACATGCGTTAATAATGTCAAATGATTTATATATATCATTCAAATGTACTTAAAACGATTAAAAAACGGCAACAAACATTTATTTAGGCCCGAACTACAAAACCAAATGTAAAACCATTTTAGTATCAGTTTCGCTTAAGTTGCACGCTAGTGTTTAAGGAGAGGGGAAATAGAATATTTACGGGATTTGTAGTCTATAGCGAAGTGTATTGTGGGTAGTGTAGTTCGACACGCATACTGGATTATGTGAGCTCGCTGTGTTCTGTGCAGCTGAGCAGAGCAAGAAAGTTTAATCGGCTTTGTTTTATGTTCACTCGAGTTATTCCTACCGGGAGCTGTTTGCACTGTGAATCTGACAACACGAAAATAAGTAAAAGAATGGCATGCATTGGTTACTTTTGTCCGTCTCATCATCTGCACGAGCATGAATTAACGAGCTGTTATTCTGCCGCTGGACATCACTGAAGCGGAGAAAGTAACACTAGTTTGATCATGTATAAATATCATTATAACTATATTGTATAAATATGATTATAACTAGGTCTACAGCAACCTAATATTTCAAAAAACAAATGACATGATATCACAGACGATTGTCTTCTGACTGTAGACACTTCTCATATAAGTTAGCTTGAGAAGCATACAGTACTATTGGATCTATAAAATTCGTAAAATAAAGATTTGCAGGTTAAAGAAACAGCATAGGAGGGGCTTTGGTGCAGATGAAAAGTTTAAAAAGTGTATTTGTATACAGAGAGACATGGGTAACTAGGTAGAATAGACAGAGATAGGTTGATCTCTGCAGCAGCTGCCGAAGAGCTGCGTGCTGCAGACGCAGCTGGTGTGAAAGTCAAACGCCTGCGTGCTGCTAATGCTCGACATACGCGCTGCGCACGCTCTGCTCACGCGCTGCTGACGCTTGCGGTGTGAAACAGGCGTTAGCATTTAACACTAAATAAAGCACATGAGGTGTACCTGTGGTAATCATTGTCAGTTTTCTATTGTTAACCTGCGAGAAATATAACCTGTTTCTAACATACCAATTTGAGGTGTTGGTTAGGACAAAAACTCCTTTTAATATTAAAAATATTAATTATATCGGGTGCCGTTGCTTTTATTTAGAACTTGGTTTAAATCACTCACTCCTGTCCTCAATCCGGCAACCTAAGCTTGCGTTTGTTTTGATCCAGGAATGCAATACCTAGTTCAACCACTGGGTGTCAAACTTACATACTGCACCTTTAAGTTCGTTTTTCTACTGTTAAACACAAAGGAAGATATTGTTAAGAATGCTGGTGGAGAAACAGTCATTGATAGAGACAGAATACATAGGCTATTTCCATACTAGAAGGAAAACAATCCAATCCTCTCCATTGACTTTCTATGGAGGGAATCTGCCACGCTGTCATTCCTAAATAATTACAAAAAACTAAACAATCCACAAAAGCAGCTGTGTGACATGGTGTACAGCAGACAAAACGAAGAAAACAGAACTAAGTTTTTATAAACTACAAACTGTAAAAACCAGCTATTTAAGGGGGACAATACATGTAGATATAGGTGGACGTGAAGCACCGTCAGCTCAAATAATGAGAAAATTGTGGGGATCCTGGCACTCTGTATGCCTCTGTGAGGAAAAAGCAGTCGCCTAAAGTTATTTGCGAGTGCCATAATTTAGCTAACAGCTTTTCCCACCAATGTTTGGTGAAAAAATAAAGTTGTAAATATTAAAATGTTTCATGTTGAGCCATTCAAATGGATCATTTCTCCAACAAAAGGCCCAGGTAAGAAAATCTAAGGGCTGACATGGACCAATAAAGTTTAGTTTTTTTATATATCTCCTCTTCACAGGTTCTCATAGAGTGCTGAGTAATCGTTGTAACATGGTTAAGAATAATGAATGTTTCCTGTTGTGGGTTAAGTTACATTCCAACAGGTGTAAAGCAAGCTCTTTAATAATACACACCGTGCCCTGCTTTTGTGTCCTTCAATTTTTTTTTTTTTTTTTTTTTTGAGGTAGTGAAGGGGGTTTAGGAGAGTATATTAATCAACAGCTTTTAAAAATGTAGTTGTGTATTTAGCTTAGCTTGCTTACTCTGAAACTTTTTTTAATTCGTTTTTGCAATATAACACAAACACAACAAGGCAAAATTCCAAAAAAACGATTAACAACTTTTTTAATTAACAAGAATATTGTTTAATATAAACTGAATATTAACATCTTTCCCTAAAAAAAAAAGTATATATATATATATATATATATAGATAGATAGATAGATAGATAGATAGATAGATAGATAGATAGATAGATAGATAGATAGATAGATAGATAGATAGATACAATTTTTAGAAAACTGGGAGGACAACTTGAGCGAAACTTTTAACCACCATTAAAATAAATCAAACCAGAAAGTTCATATAAATATTAAAAAAAATTATGTGCTGTCGTTTCAATGTCAACCTCACAGGATGTACAATTGCTGTGATCTAAATTAAATCTATGTCTAAGAAACACTGAAGATGAGTAAATATCCTTGAATATTTTAAAGTGTACTTCTTTAGCTTTGGAGGTATGGGGAAGGAAAGAAACATTGCTTTTAATTCGACCTTACTCTGAAACTTGTCACATAGCAGTTTTAGCAGTTAAGCTTATTTTGTTCGCCAGAAATTCACCCCCAATGCAAAGTCAATGGAGTAGGTTGGATTGTCCATCAGTTTTTGATTCATCAGGTCATCATCAGATTGTCTCTTTAGTATTTTTTGTTCCTAATATGGTTGTCAATGGTTACTTTTTAAACATTCTTCAGAATATCTTGTTTTGTGTTTAACATGCAGAAAATAAAAATTAAGATAAAACATTACAACAACTTGACCGTGAGTAAATGAGGACATTTTTATATTTTTGGGGTGAACTGTCCCCTCAAGTCAACACCACATCATTTGTTTAATTTGGTCACTTGCAGAGGGATTCTAGAACATAAAGAAGTGGCTAACATTCAGTGGACATGGGAAAAGGGTAAAGTATGGGTTCTAATGCCATATGAAAATGCTTACCCGTTGTGTCAGTGATGTCATTTTATTGTTTTTCTCTCAGCTCTTCTCTTGTCTGGATATGCGCTCTGTATGTACGGCTTCTATAGCTTCATGCCTGTGGTGATAAAAAGGAGCAGTGCCACAGCGGTTAACCTTTCCTTACTCACCGGAGACCTCTTCAGCCTGTTCTTTGGGCTCTTTTTGTTCCATTATAACGTGAGTAAAGTAATTTATTCAGATTGTCTTTGATCAGTCTGCTTACTTAAATAAAAGTTGCTTCTGATTGGCTGATAGGGATATTTCTTAACTTAACAGAGGATCTGATGTTCGGAAACTTTGTAAAAGGGTTTTGTTAAATATACACAATGGGGGAAATAAGTTTTAAATATGTCAAGTTTTTTCCTAGTGGACAAGTACAGATTTTGGTAAAAACCCATACAATACAAACATAAAAAATAATACAAAACAAAAAATAAATACATAAATTGTGTTATAATAGTGTATGTGTAATAATGAAATGACAAGGAGAAAGTGCTGAACTACTGAAATGTATTTAATATTTTATATAAATGGCTTTTTTGGTGATGGCAGCTTAAAGACGCCTCTCATTGGGAGAATGTGGTCACATGCTCAGGTGTGATGTTTTTACAGACTTCAACAGACTTCAGTTTAAAAATCTGGCTGGTTCTGTGGGTATGGTCTATCAAATCTGATCTTTAGTTTGTATTTTATATTGGATTTAAGTCAGGTGAATGGATGGGCCATTCTACAGCTTGATTTTCTTTCTCTAAAAGAATTTAAGAGTTTCCTTCATTGTCTTGCTGAAATGTCCACCCTGGTTTCATCTTCATCATCCTGGTAATGTAGATGTCGAAGTGAAGCAGCTAATATTAATTTACAATGACAAAGGGCAGAGGGTTGCTGAAGAACTAATGAAATATTTAAGCTGCTGTCTGGGCTTTCACTGCCTTTCTACAGCTCCTTTTTTCATGTGTTAAATACTTTACTTCTCTGTCATTTCATCACATAACAACTTCATTAGTAAACTAATTTTAAACTTATTTAATTTTTTTTAAACTAGTTTTGTTTTCTTTGCATAAATGGATTTCTTTGGTTGGTACCAAAAATTTCAAGTCAACAGCACCTTTAGAAATATGTTTTCTGAGAAAAATGATGATGTATTCAATACTTATTTCCCCTACTGTATGAAAGAGTTCTCATACAGCAAGCTTGTTGACACTGGAATATTAAAAATAAAAATAACCTTCAGGCACTTAATGTAAAGCATTTTTTTTATCGTCTGTAGACTCATGTGATTTTATCCTGGACTTTCCCACTAGAATACTGTGTGCATGATTCAGCATCAGTCTCTCCACCCAAACCCAAAAATCCTTTAAAGTCCTTTAAACCACGTGCTTAGGCTTACATCAAAAATAAAATGAGCTAAGGTATGCTAAAAAATTATGCAATAATACATTTACTCCACTTTTTCCGATCAACCTTTAATCTAATTAATGAAGAACATGACTGCAGTTTCTAAGTAAAAAAAAACAAAACACTACTGGTCAGTATAATGACTTCATCTTGTGTTTCTTTTAAAACTAAGAATTTTTCACAGGGCCATGTTACCAACAAATACAGAATTATTTCTGAGCAGTTTTTTGCACAACACCAAACATATGCCACAAAACACCTTAATGTTGTCTATGATTTGTAATCAACTACATTTGCCTCAACTGCCTATCTCCATATAGACAATTTCTGGTTTGCTGAATTATACACATCCACTTGTTAAGTGGTGACGTATGGAGCACTGTTTCTGGAAATAAGCCACAACTCATTTGAATGGACTTTTAGTCCACTTTTTAGTCACGTCACACATTGAAGTGAATTTTATATAAAATCATGGTGTACACAACAGTGTCTGGACTTGCTGCATCACAGACACCAATAGTTTAATAATTTCTTCAAGAGGTAACACTTAGCTCATGATTTATGCATAGCTTGTTTGGCATGCTGTCCCGGGAAAGAGCCCTGAGCTCAATGGATCCTCGAGCCCCTTGCAGGGTGAGGGGAGATTGAGCTCAGGTTGATCTCAAACTCCGCCGCTGCTGAGGCCAAGGCGAACTTCCTGAAAGTGAGATATTATAAAAAGGTTTAGGCTTATCAATAATATAGAGGACATTTGGATGGTGGGAGGAAACCGGGGAACCCGGGGGAAACCCACGCAGCCACAGGGAGAATATGCAAACTCCACACAGAAATACCAAATGGCTCAGCGAGGACCCAACACCACTGGTATTCTTGCTGTGAGGCAACAGTGCTAGTCACTGAGCCACCGCGCCGCCCATTCTGTATAAAGGAGGAAGTAGGGGAGGAGGGGGGTTTCTTCCAGACGAAGATAGTTGTAGAAAGGAAATAAGGATATATATATAGTGACTTGGGATCCTTTGATTGGAAGATCATGATTAGCTAATGTGGACCAGCTGGGTCAATCATAAGCACATGCTCCTCTCGAAATTAGTTTAAAAATTAAACTTCACTAAAAAAAATGACACACTTTCTGGACATCTGATATTAGTTTGATAGAGCGCTTGGACCGAATAGGGTCTGTCTGCGAACTGTAAGACAGGGCGTAATAAAATGTAGTCGGCAAGATGGCGTTGTACATCAGTTAATAACATCTACACCTACTCCACACCTAAACCCAACCATCACAGTTATTAACGTCTATACCTACTGTACCACAACCCTAAACCCAACCATCACCGTTTTAAATGTCTACACCTTCCCCAAACCTAAACCCAACCATCACAGTGATTCATACTATACCCAACCCTTAAACCAACCATCACAGTTGTTAATGTCTACACCTTCCCCAACCATCACAGTTATTAACACCTATACCTACTGTACTACAACCCTAAACCCAACCATCATCGTTATAAACGTCTACACCTTTACAAACCCTGAACCCAACCATCACAGCTTTTAAATTAAAGGCTTGAGTTGCAGAAGCTTCATACTTGATGCTGTTTATACTTGATGCACTCGCCATTGTGCTGTTATTTGTAACCGCATGGGGTGACGCCTACTAAAACGGATGAAGAAGTTAGGAGTTGCATGTTGAATGAATTTAATAATATAGCTAATTAAATGGTTGTGGATAAATTTGGAGAAAATACTTGTAAGTATTTCCGACATCTTGCCAACAACATTTCGCTGTGACATCTCGCATGATTCAATGGGATCTCGAAAACTACAAGTTACGCCTCTTCATCTTACACCCCCGTCTTGCAGTCCGCAGACAGATACACTTGCTTGGACCTGGAAGTCGCTTTGTGTGACATCACACTTAACAAGCAGATAACAAAAAACACCCTATAGAACTTTTTTTCAGATTCACAAAAATGTAGACAGCGCCCTCTAGTGGATTAGTGCAACTGGAGCACTGTATTTTACATTCTGCTAAAATATAGGCTGAGGTACATATTTCTAATGAGCCTGGGTTGGTTTTCTTAACTTGCATTGTGTTTGAGCTCTCTCAGCCACTGTAGCCTTCTGCATATGTCCCTCCAGATTTATCTTTGTTTAGACAATTTCTAGATGTTGTTTATTTCATACAAATGGTGTAATAAAAATGCATAATTTTTCAGTCCATCCTCACCTCATGTGTTGTTCCTCAGTTCTCAGGCTTGTACATCGTGTCGTTGGTGGGAATCCTCATTGGGTTCATCATGTTTAACACCGTTCCGACGTTAAGCAGACTTTCTGACCCGCTGTCTGATGAAGAAGGTGTTGACAATCACACAGCGGACACTGACAACAACAGTATTGAAGGCTGTGAGGGAGAGATCAGCTGTGCACATGCAGAGCAGAGAGAAACACCACCAGCATGTGCCGTCATAAACAGTGTCAAACTCTAGTCTCCATCAATTCTGTTCACTTTTCATAGTTTTTAATATAATGTTATGTTAACATCAAACAAGTGACATTGCACACTGAGTGCAAGTAAATGTTTAGAAAAGCGATCACCAGTACTGGCCTGGAGGGCCAGTGTCCCTGCAGGGTTTAGCTCTAACTTGCCTCAAACACACCTGCCTGGGTGTTTCAAGTATACCTAGTAATAGCTTGATTAGCATTGTCAGGTGTGTTTAATTAGGGTTGGCGATAAAATCTGCAGGACACCGGCCCTCCAGGAACAAGTTTGGTGACCACTGGTTTAGATCATGACCCCATACATTTTTTGATCATATATTTTGTGTTTAATCATATACTGCATTGCCATATTCACTGTAAAATATCTGCTAGTTAACAGGTTACTTTCACATGGTGTTTTCTGTTTTTTTACAGTTCTGAATTGCATTATGGGATCTGGATCATGCTCTGTCAAATTTTAAATATTGAAAATTCAACACTGCAGATGAACAAGTTTGAGACAATATATTATTTAAGAAATAATACAGAGAGAATTGAGATATTTAAAATAACTAATAAAGTATGGGCAGTTTGTTACCAGGTTTTTGTAGCGTAATCCTGGGCCTATCACTTCAAACCTTTCAACATCAAAAGCCTTAGGAGGAAAAATCAAGATCCCAGAATGCAAGTCATAAATAAGTGGAAAACAACATCAATCACCAAATACGGAAAACTGTTCATTTAAAAGTATTTTTTTACAGTGCACTCTCAGAAATAATGGTACACGAGCTGTCACTGGGGTGGTACCCTTTCAAAAGATACAGGGTTGTACTTAAACGGTGCACATCGGTACCTTAAGGTATATATTAGTACCTCTAGGTTTTAAGAGGAACATTTTTGTACTTATAATAAGTAGCCTTAAGGTATTAATATGGACCTTTTAGGTACAAATTTGCACCTTTTGATAAGGTACCACCCCAGTGACATCTCACGTACCTTTATTTCTGAGAGTGTGGAGTAGTAAAACAAAATTATAAGCTCTGGGAATTTTTTTTATAAATATTTCTCAAGGGCATAGCGTAAAGCTTGTATTTGTTACCATTTATCCAGACTCATGTGATCATATCCTGGACTTTTCCACCAGAATATTATATAAACATTGTCCAAACTCCAAAACTGTTCGAACATCTAAACTCCAAAACTGAAGTCCTTTAAAGCACAAGTGAAGAATTGGGTTGCATTTATCAGCTCGTAATACTCTGCACGATTGATTCAGACTGTGAGGACTCATTTTGTGGGCTGATGTTTGTTTGATTTCTGCTGGATGAACAGCGGGGCTGAATATGCTAATGAATCATGTGGTTTTGCTCTGTAATCTCATGGCATTTGTACTTTGCCTGGAAAGTCTTGCATTCCCAGATGTTCTCCACAAAACTCCTCTGTTTGTCTTTTAGATTATTGTTGTTATATGCTGATTATGGAAGGCATTTGCAGTTTAGAGAAGATCTAAAAGAATAATAAAGTTGCGCAATAAACACCACTTGTGCATCAGTTTGACTGAATATTAAGATGTAAAACGTCCCTCCTTCCACTTTTAGAAGTCATGAAAATAGCTTAGAATCACTATGATGATTTCTAGTAGTCAGATGATACTTTTTCCAGCATTTAAAATAAAGCAAAAAACCCTTCGAAGAAACACACTGAAAAAATGATCTGTTGGATTTACTAAATATTTTAAAGGTAACTGATTACAAACAATTTGGGCTGAATTTAAACACCAATAAAATTGAGTAATGTTTAACTTAATTTGTGTTTAAATTCAGCCCAAATTGTTTGTAATCAGTTACCTTAAAAATATTTAGTAAATCCAATGAATCATTTTTTCATCGCATGGTAGGGTGATGTCAATTGATGTAACCAGTATCTTTCATAAATAAAATAATTATACACGAAAATACATGCAAAATGAAGTTTATTTTGCCTAATTTAGTGTATTAAAATTGCTTTTAAATAATGTTAGTCAAATATTATATAGATATCAGATGTTTTCAGCATATGTCCAGACAAATGTTGCAAAAGCTCATTAAACTGTACATTTAGCGATTATAACTCGTGAAATACATTTTCTTGTGCTATTTTCAAAAAAGTACCAGGTTGGACCCGCTTTTGCCTTCAGAACTGCCTTAATTCTTTCTGGCATAGATATAACAAGGTACTGGAAATATTCCTCGAGATTTTGCACCATATTAACAGTTGCTAAAGATTTGTTAGCTGCACATCCATGATGCAAATCTCCTGTTCCACCATATCCCATTTGAGATCTGGTGACTGTGAAGGTCATTTAAGTAGTGAACTCATTGTCATGTTCAAGAAACCAGTCTGAGATGATTCACGCTTTATGGAATGGTGCGTTATCCTGCTGGAAGTAGTCAACAGAGGTTGGGTACACTGTGGTCATAAAAGGTCCGACCCATGCTTTCAGTTGTTGACGCTAAATTGTGACATTACCAACCGAATGTCACAGCAGAAAATCATCAGAGACTCATCAGACCAGGCAACGTTTTTCTAACCTTAATTGTCCAATTTTGCTGAGCCTGTGTATATTGTAGCCTCAGTTTCTACATACCTCGGTTGTAATGTGTTGAGTGGTAATTTGACTTACTGTTGCCTTTCTATCAGCTCCAGCCAGTCTGGCCATTTTTCTCTGACCTCTGGCATCATCAAGGCATTTGTGCCCACAGAACTGCCGCTCACTGGATATTTTCTCTTTTCAGATTCTTCTCTGTAAACCCTAGAGATGATTATGCCCGAAAATCCCAGTAGATCAGCAGTTTCTAAAACACTCAGACCAGCCAATTTTTGGCAGCAGTTGCATCATTTTACAGTTTTAGATATTCTTAACGTTTATAAAAAAAATACACAATAATCATTAATAATTTTTAATTACATAAAATCAACATAAATATACTTTCTACTCTTGAAAGATGCTTTTTTAAAGTTTTTTTTTTCATTTCCAAACCTTATTTTATCATTGACTTGTATTTTAATGATCGTGCAAAATCTATGTTACATGTTATTTGTGTCCGTGTTGTTTAGATTTTTCCTTTTTACTTTATAAAAATAAAGCCGAAAAGAAAATGAATGAACAAAAAAGGCAAAAATAAGTAATAATAATCAGACAAACCTTTACAAAATCAATTGTGTCTGCTGTTTTACTCCCAATTCTGTAAAATGACAATGACAAAGCAATAAATAAATGTATCAAGAGTTTTTTTTTATTCAACATTTGTTCTTTTATTTATTTTTGCTCCTCTCATAACATAATTGACAGTTAGGTCTATACGCAGCCCCAAATTTACAGGCTATATACAACTTGAACTTTCTCCATAGGGAAAACACACTATATATACGCATATATATATATATATATATAATATCAGTGTGGAAAGAGGTCTGAAAAGTCGCCCCAACATATATATTTATATATAACTGTACATGGTCCCAGAAAATTTAAAAAGAACATATTTTTAAAAGGTCAGCACAGAAACAGGAATCATCCATCTACATGCCAAAACAGCCACGACAATTTGTCTAAGAATGTGTACATCCTACAGAGTGTAAATACACAAAACTAACTGACAACCTAAATAAAACGTAAAATAAAAGCTCATTCTCTCTCTCTCTCTCTCTCTCTCTCACACACACACACGTACGTACAAAACACACACACAAACAAAGAAAGCAAATCAAATGCAGGGACTCTTGCGCAACACAATGCTAGTGTGATTTGTAAACCTGGTTTGGGACAACAGACTGGATCACAGTGTTAGTTTAAAGTTGTATTCCTTGCTTTTTTAATCTACCTGCAGAAGTGTGTCTGGCTCAATAAAGAAATCTTCCCATCCACGCATAATTCCTCCATTTCTCACACTCACACAGCTGTCCTGAAGCTTAAAGATGTTCATTAAAGAAACATGAGGTCACATCCATCCACATTTCACTTGCACCGTAATATTATTAAAGGGATCGTTCACTCAAAAATTTTAAATCTAGCTTTATTAGTTTCTTCACAAAAGAAGATAGTTTGAAGAATGTTAGAAATCGATAACCATTGACTTCCATAGTATTTGTTGTTCCTACTATGGACATAGCGTTGGGCCAATAAACGATATTATATCAAACCGCAATAACATTCATGTCAATAACAAAGATAAGCTCTGGACTTTTTTACTCTATATTGATCTAAGAGCCAATCACACAGCAGAAATGTGCAACAATGGGAATCTAAAAGTGTGTTGATATTAAAGATGTATCGAATTTTTGGCCACCGAAAAGTCAATCGTAACAGGTTTACAACATTTTTCTAAATATCTTCTTTTGTGTGCAATTAAAAAAGAAATTTAAACTGGTTTGGAATGAGTAAATATTAAGTAAATAATGTCCGAATTGTTGGGTGAACTAGCCCTTTAAATCACAAACAGACACATACATAAAGCTTCTGTGATGTATTTGCCACACACACACACACACACACATACAATCACACACACACAATTATGAATGCGTGTCATTTTAACTTATTTGCTACATGAAAACGTTCTGCACATGTAATCTCCGACATTAATCACCAGTGGCGAGATGAAGGCATTGAATGTGATGGAATACATTCAGAGAGACTTCCAGAACAATGTTTGCGCCAGCGAATGATTGTGTTAGCACTCGACGGATGTGAATTC